TTCATGTGATTCTATCCCTCTATGTTGACTTTTTGGGCAGCTGCAGCATTCTGCTGGCTTTAAGTGATTGTCCATTAGGATTCCGAGATCCCCCTCACAGTTACTACTATTGAGTAAGGTGCCACCTATACTATTCCAGTACATTTGGTTTTTCTTGCCTAAATGTAGAACCTTACTTTTTTCACCATTGAATTTCATTTTGTTAGATAGTGCCCAGTGTTCAAGTCTGTCTAGATTCTCCTGTATCTTAATCCTATCTACTGGAGTGTTGGCTATTCCTGCCAGCTTGGTGTCATCTGCAAATTTGATGAGTTCCCCATCTATCCCCTTGTCCAAACTCTTGATAAAGATGTTGAAGAGCACTGGGCCTAGAACAGAGCCCTGGGGCATCCACTACAACTTCCCTCCATGTAGATGCAGTTCCATTGAGGACCACACACTGAGTACGGTTGGTCAGCCAGCTACGACTCCATCTGGTGGTGATGCTGTCTAACCTACATTTTTTTTTATCTTATCAAGTAATAGGTTGTGATCTACTTTATCAAATGCCTTACTGAAGTCCAAGTAAATTATGTCCACAGCATTCCTCTGGTCCACTAATTTTGTCACTTGGTCAAAGAATTCTCTATTTTTTTCTGTATGTATGAGTAGAAAAGCATTATTTGAAAAAGTGTTATTTTCTTAGTTTAATACTGGAAAAAAATCTCATGGGATTCATTTTGAAATATGTTTGGCTTCATGTCATATCAACAGCTCACTTTTTAAAGAATTTAAATATTCCTTATAGATGTGAAGTTTGACATGGGAATTCCAGGAGCAGATTATAATCAGGATTTTTTTCTTTTTAAAATATGACCTCTAGTGGCACAACTCTTATTAGCTAGAACTTCAGATTGCTGAAAATTATCCATTTGGAATTATTATAAGGATTTATTTCCCTCCCAGATTCCTTCATTTTTATTATAAACAAAAACACTGAATTCTTTCTTGGGCAACCTAAGCAGATGCAATACTTATTTTATTTCTTTTTTGATATGGCTTTTTATAAAATATTTTACAGCTCTGAGTCATTCCTTTAAAAATGGAATTAGTCCATCTTTTATTTGTGTTTTATTTATAAACAGATATTCTGATATATGAGAATCTGAATGACTTGCGATAAATTTAGCTTTTATGATAGAAGCAGAAGTAAAGATTTGAAATTTAATCTATTAAAGATCAAGCCCTTTGTGTTTGCCTAATTCATGAACTAAATAATCATGTATTATGTATAAATGGCAAAAAAAATCACAGCTAGTAGATTAATTTGTATACCTTGGCAGAACGTTTACTAAAGATGCCGAAGTGGATAAAATTTTTTAGAAGCTATGCAAATGCTGTAACCGCTGCTTAATAAGACTTCCCTAAGGTGTGTGTATTTATGTATATTTGTATCTGTCTGTGTCGGTGTCCCCCTTCAAGTCAGTTATTAATTACTGCCTGATCTAGTCCCTGCAATTTTCTTGGCAAGGTTTTTGGGATTTTTTTTTTAAACCTTCTTCCTGGGACTGTGAGTAACTGGCCAAGGTCACTCAGCAGGCTCTGTGCCAAAGGCAGGACTAGAACTGAGGGTTTCCTGGTATCTAGTCTGATGGCTTAACAACTGCCCCAATAGCCTCCCTAGACTTGTGGCAGCTGAAATCTGGATTAACCCCAAACAGCTGGATTTTGCTTCAGTTGGATTATGATTGGACTTGAATGTCCTAGTGACTAGTCAAATGCTGAACTATGGAGGAAGCACATTTTTTCTCTGAACATTCCTTGAGTGCCCAGAATAAAGAAAATATGATTATGTCTGGCTCATGTGAAGAAAATGGAGAAAGATTGACTCACAAAGCATACAAGAAAAGAGAATGGGTTGGGGGGAAAGTAGAACTGGGAAATTTTGTTGATGGTGATTTTGATGAAATCCTCAAAAACCACAAATTTGAAGAACAAAAAGGCGGAGTGAGGGCTCATATGGTAGCAGAGAAGTATGGAGATGTATAGTAGATGGTATTGATAGAAACCTGATTCTTTTTAGCCAATTCCTCTTCCTTATTATTAACTCTTTCTGCATTTTGCACGTTGCTTAACCTGGAAGGGACCAGCATGATAGACGTGTTTATATGTATTACATGATCCTACAAATTACTTTTCTTGAACATTATGGTTCCTCCTCTCTTCTTAAATTGATCTCCCAATTCCTTGGCACTGACCTAGTCACCCTTCTGGCTTTAATAAGTTGAGGGTGGGGTTTTGTTTTTTGTTTTGCTTTCTGCTTTCTCTATTCCCTTTCAACTATACATTTGCAAGGAAGGTCAAAATAATTAGTCACAATGATGTAATTGGTATGTGCATGTTAATGCATACTCAAAGAGAGCAGGACTTTGATTCCGTAGTCATGTTAGTCATCCTGCCTCTTAGACTCTTTTTCCCTGCAGGGACTCCTGCTACAGTAAGGAGACTGATGGTCCTCCAATACGCAAAATAATTTTTGCCTTACTTCTGATGCAACTTTCACCGCTGTTTGAAAAAAATGATCTAAATGAGCCGAGGTGGCGCAGCAGTTAGAGTGCAGTACTGCAGGCCACTTTAGCTGACTGTGTTCAGCAGGTCAGCGGTTCAAATCTCACCGGTCCCAGCTCAAGGTTGACTCAGCCTTCCATCCTTCCGGGGGAGGTAAAATGAGGACCCAGATTGTTGGGGGGCAATGTAAATATATATATACACTGCTTACTGGTGTACACCGCTTAGAGAGTGCTTGCACTTAAAGCGGTATATAAGTCTCATAAATAAATAAATATATAAATAAAGTGATATAAATTTCAGTGATAGCTGAAATCACTTTAGCTTGGAATGATTGGCTAAATTAAAGGAGCATAATAATTAAGAATTATGTTAAGAATAATTAACAAATATATCAACAGCTTCCTTACTTTTCAGTTGCCTCTATGTGTGTGAACTATGCAAAATTACCTTAAAATGAGAGTAGGAGTGTTTGATAGATTTTGCCCCATTTTCAACAACTCTTCTTTTGAATGGTGAACATTAGGGTGATGCTTGGAGAAAACACTCAAATCAAGTATTTACAGTTCAATTTTATGCAAGGTAACCGTGGAGCATCTGCCCTAACATTCACAAATTGCTTTGACATTTGAATGCAAAAGCAATTTGTCAACTCCACTAAAGACCTATCTGGATTTTAAAAAGCAAAAGAAAACACTCCAAGCCAGGTTTGCATATACATGTTGATTACTTCACTGCTCATCCAAATCATCATGAGATACCACATAGAGAAAATTCATACTACCATATATTAAGATAATATGGTTTTGCAATGAATTGATAAGCACATTCATTTGCAAATCAAGACAGAGAAATCAAATGGGGATGTATGTCTCAGGTAAACTAATGTCTAATTTAGGATAAATATCTCTCTGGCAAATAAATTCCATTGGTTTTTCAGTTATTAATTAAAAGTATTTTTAAAGAGGTAGAATAGGATTCAACAATAACAAAAATGGACAAGAAAATTAATAAGCATCAAAGGTAAATCAAAATACATGGTTGGAGGATATGTGGGACTGTCATTGTGACATGCACAACCATATGTTATTCGTTGCCTGACAGTTTCTGAGTGGCCTTGTGAATGAAGCCTAGCAGAGGCTTGTAGTGAACTATGCTGACTTGCACAATTGTCTTCTTTGCAGAGGTTTGCCATATTGGGATGTTCAGTTGATCAGAGATGGTCATTATTACAGGATATAAAATGAGTTTTGGTTTGGATTGTTTTAGAATGCATTAATAAGTTTTTCTTCTGTTTCAGAGGTTTATTTATTGGGGCAAGAATTTCCTGTGAGCCAGTAAAGCATTTTCGGTTTGTAGTCCCAACAACTGAAAGGCTTGGTATATATTGAAAAAACTAGACACACACATAGCAAATCTTCTTTATGGGTTATTGATTCTGGAAACAAAGCAGAAAAGATGAAAAAAAATGTAAATGGTTATTGGGTAAGCCTTCATTCTTGTTATGTGGGAGGCAAATGCTGTGGGAATGCCAACTTAGTCTGGTGGTTAAGGCACCTGGCTAGAAAACAGGAGACTATGAATTCTAGTTCTGCCTTAGCCATGAAAGCTGGTTTGGTGACTTTGAACCAGTTACTATCTTTCAACTCAACTCACCTCACAAGGTTGTTGTTGTGTGGAAAATAGGAGGAGGAAGGTATATTGGATATTGTACCTTGAGTTATTTCTAAAAATAATAAAGGGGCCGTATGAGTGCCAGGACGCTATGCTAGTCTTAGCTACAACTTTCTGATAAGCTGCCAAGCAGGCATAATATATCAGTTATGGCGTGCTGCAGTTCTAAAATTTATTTTACTTATTTGCTTATAGCCCGCCTTTATTGTTCTTACAAATAACTCAGGACAGCAAACATATACAACACACGTTCCTCCTATTTTTCCTGTAACAACAACCTTGTGAGGTGAGTTGGGCTGAGAGAGAGTGATTGGCCCAGCGGGTTTTTATGGCTAAAAGCTGATTCAGAGTTGTCCACAATTGCTACTAGTCATTGCCACATAGCTGTGCTGTGAAGGGGTTGATAGTTGATCAGACTTCCTGTTCTGTGCTTTGCTGTTTGAGGCCCCTAACCATAATGTTAAAATTCACGGATGTATAAAAGGAATGCCTGTGCCACCCTCCCCAAACAATAGATGCATATGTTCCCCTCAAGTGTAGTGCTGAAGAAGTCGGCTTGAGCCTTAAGGTGGGATTAGAACTCTCAGTTTCCCGCTTTCTAGCCTGGTGCCTTAACCACTAGACCTAAATGAGCAGATGAATTGTCGAAGAGCAGCATTTTTTGAATCACCTGATTTTGAGATTCAGTTTTCTATTGATGCATATTAACTAAGACCATTTTAAAGAGCGGTTGTTTAAATTCTTCGCAGATCTTCTGAAATAATGGATTCCCTCAGAATCTTCTTGTTCTGTGTGAAGAAATCAGGAATTGAATACAGTGGTCTTCCTGAGCATGTAGCTTCATGCAGTATGATATCAGAAGATGGAACCAGAGCAGATTGGTTGTTGGGTGAACAGAGTACAAGAAAATGGCAATACATTTAGGGAACCAACTCAGTTTGGAACTTTACTAGCAGCAGTGAAATGTCTAATTGTGCTCTCATTTGACCCCAGAGATACAGTAGGACTGATGGAAATTTTGTGTGAACTCAGGATCCTATTTCAAAAAATAAGCCATCTTTCAACAAATATGATACAAAATCAATGTGTACAATAAGTGTAGGGAAGGTTACATAAGGCTATGGGGTGTTTTCCAATCCTACATGCATGGTCTTTTATATTTATGAAGTGGAATATTTATACTTATGTTTTTTACTTTCTTACTGGGGGAGGGGAAAGAGCTTTAAAGATAGATATTGATTCCTAACAGTTGGTCACATTTTCTTGAATTTCAAACATTTTTTTGAATATTTTATCCAGTTTTCTATATCTGAAAGTCCCTGAAGAAAAGTTCTTGGCAGTGGCTTCCTTACTGTCTCTGTTCAGAAATGCAACAACTTATACAGTATGCTATGATCTGTCAGTGATTGCTGAAAATCTGTTCTACAGACATGCTGAGAGGGACTCAGTTTTGTTTAGAGTAGCGTGGCAAACACAATGGAGAAATGGCAGCAGTTGAACAGCTGGACAGAAGACTATGGTGGCCTTGCCTTTCTGATACTAGTATTTGGCTTAGAATGGCATGGAACAAGACACCTTCAGACATATTCTTTGCCTTTAATGCGACTACCCAATTCACCACCGCTGCTCATACATCCTTGCCAGTTTCACTCAGGATATTAATGGCTACAGTAATGCTCCTTATGATTGCCATTGGATTCTTAGGCAATACTATTGTCTGCTTGATTGTTTACCGGAAGCCAGCCATGTGTTCAGCAATAAATCTGCTTTTTGCTACACCGGCTTTCTCTGACATTATGTTGTCTTTACTCTGCATGCCATTTACTGCTGTCAGCATTATTACAGTAAACTAGAATTTTGGAGCTCACGTCTGCCGCATATCTGCTATGCTTTACTGGTTTTTTGTCTAGGAAGGCATCTCAATACTTTCAATCATTAGTGTGGATTAATTCCTCATCACTGTCCAGCACCAAGACAAGCTGAACCCTTGTCGTGCCAAAACCGTGATAGCTGGTTTCGTGGGTCTTCTTGTTCTGTATCTCTTTCCCTTCCATTGTCAGATGGACATTTGTGGAAGTGCCAAGCAGACTCCCCAGTGTGCCTTGGATACACTGAGTTCTCTGCAGACCGAGCTTATGCAGTGATGTTGCTTGTGGCCACTTTCTTTATCCCTTTTGGCAGTATGTTGTATTCTTACCTTTGCATCCTAAACACTGTCCGTCAGAACACAGTCCGGATCCACAACCACACTTAGAACATCTGCCTCAGCCAGGTGAGCAGGCTAAGTCTGGTGGACTGCAAAAGCCTTACCACGTTAACATAGACATGAGCTTCAAAACTAGGGCATTCACTACCATCTCTATTCTGTTTGTTGGCTTTTCCCTATGCTGGCTTCCTCACACAGTCTTCAGCCTGATGTCAGTCTTCAGCCAGTGGTTCTGTTACAGCCCCTCTTTCTATATAACTAGCACTTACATACTGTGCCTGAGTTATCTCAAGTCTGTTTTCAACCCCATCATCTGCTGCTGAAGGATCAAGAAATTCCATAAGACCTGTCTGGAATGCCAAAACACGCCAAAACATTTAAAATCTTTCCTGAAATGCCTGGATGGACAAAACAGAGAATAAGGCCAAGTACAATATATATCTAAGTTATTCCCCATCTGGAGTTTAGAGATAAACCCTGATCATTAATGTATTAGAAAGGAGAAACAACAGCCAATAGCAAGACAGGATTTGTGTGTCCAAACTCTGGAATGAATGAATTCAAGTTGTGGTTTAATGAACTCTAGGTAGTTCATCCTGGTAAAAGAAATCCTTGGTGAGTGGTTATCAGTTCTGAAATTAGAAATGTTTCTTAATACTGCCTTTAATACTGTTAATACTGTCTACAGTACTGTTGTATGTATTAGCTATGCATCATATTTGAGGTTTCTCCATCTTTCAAGTTAAATTACAGCACATTATTATGCTATGTTATCCTAATCTTACCCTCAGAATAAGAGAAAGTGTGGTTTTATCAAATATACTGCCAATAATAACACTGCCTTTGTAATTTTATTTTTTTCCAGTTAAAAGAATAAACATCAAATTTCAGTGTCTATCCTTTCTATCAAATTGGGTTGTCTTGCAAAAACAAGTATCAAATTGCTATCTGAATATCTTACAGAGAGAGCCATTTTTGCACAAGTACATTCTGACATTTTACAATTGAGGTTAGTTTAGATCTCTATCTTTTAAATAATGTAAGATAATCATGGTTCAAATTATAGAACATGGATGATTTAACCTTCTACCCCACTCCAGTCATTACCAAAATTGCTTCTCTTTGCACACAAAATCCATAACAAATTCCGTCAAATAAATATTGTGGTCATCAAGATTGTAACAGAAGGAAAACAAATCAATCTTTTACCTACACATATGCAGAACAGTTCTGATTGTAATTGTTCATCGCTGTGATTTCAAAGGAAAATATGCAACAACCATGACACAATTATTAAATTATTAAACACTGTTTAATACATGTACTCCCCGAGAGATGACAGGTCACTTAACAACCTTTTGAAGTTACAACAGGCCCTCCTCCCCCTGAAACTACATACTATCCTGTTTCAAAGTTACAAACAGCTGCAACACTCCTGCGGGTCATTCACTCTTAGGACTGACCATGGGGATGCTGCAGGGCCTCTCTGCCTCTTCCCTCATCCTACTCTGACAGGCCTGCTCCCCTGCCTCCTGGAGGGAGCCAATGTTTTCAGCACTCTCCGACAATATGAGTCAGAAATGGCAGCTGCTTTCAGAGCTTTCTGCCCTAACTGGCAGGCCATCAGGAGAATACAAACCTCTCCTGGCTTTGCTAGACTTTGGGAGACCAGACCAGGCACACTAAAGTAACATCTTCAGGACAAGCTTCCCAAAACCTTCCCTTTGCTTATCTCCCTCCCTCCCCCAGAAACCCACATTTCCTCAGGAAAGGGGGAGGGGGGAAAGCTGGCACTCCCTTTTAAAAACCTTGTTTGCTAAATTCACTGCATGCCTGGAAAAGGGTGACAAAAATTTCTAAGTTACTGACCTTGATTCCAGACTAAAGAGTAAGCAAAAAAAATATTTTTTGCAGCATGCCTGAAAATATCTAAAACACAAATGCAACAAATGGCTACAGCAGAAGCTGGGTCTTAAAGGCAGTCAGGCAGCAAAAAGCTTGGAAACCTGAAATCTATTTCCAAATTTAGCAAATAAGGTTTTTAAAGGGGATAGAGATTGGAGGACAGAGGCCTAGTTTAGTTTAGTTTAGTTTAGTTTAGTTTAGTTTAGTTTAGTTTAGTTTAGTTTAGTTTAGTTGGGTAGAGAAAGATTAATGAGCTTGTCCCTCCCAGGTTTTTTGGTTTTTTTTTCCTTTATTGAAGAAATAAAGGGGGAAGGAGGGGGGCTAAGCAAGGGAAAGGCTTTGGGGAGCTCATCCTGAAGCTGCTGCCTTTGCATAGCCATGGCTGATTTCCCCAAAGCCTGGCAAGAGTCAGCAGATGGCCAATTGATCAGACTGAAGGCCCAACTCATAAATGTGGCTTCACCTGCCAAGCACAGAGGCTTCCTTGGGAAGCCTCTCTGGTACTGGAACAGAGTGCTAAGCACTTATCTATCTAGGCTCTTCTCTCTGCTTTGCAAAGCTTTTTGCTGCTTGTCTGATTCATTATGGATACAGCTGTTATTTGGAAATTTCTCAGCTAGGCTCGTCAGGAGTGGATCTTCTCAAGAGGTCTTAATTGGAATAATGCTTTTCTAGGACAGGTTATGATAACAATAGGAAAGAAGACAGGTGACCAAATCCTATGTCCTGCTTGACCAATAGTTCTTGAAGTGCTTCATGTGCATTGTAGTCCTGTCTACATACTTCTCCATTGTAAAGACTGGGGTTTCTCCACATTAAAAATGATATTTTGGAGGGGAAATGGGAATGCTTTCTTTAGTCCCATCCTTTCTCCCAATTTCCCAGGATGAGAGGGAAGGCCATTGAAGGGTTTGCAATTAAAGTTGTACTGCTCACAATCTTATCATAGGAAGGCTAGGGATAGATGGGCATTGCCTGATTCTAGTTATTTTCATGCCTAAATCTCCCATAAAAGAATTTGAATCTGAATTATTATCTTTGCTTCAGGAAACTTCAAAATCATGAGATAGGCAATTTTCCCTCCAGCAGAGAAATGGAAGAATAGAAACCATCATGTTGGCCATAAGAAATGAGGCAGCAACATGAATTGCTATTATTGTTCTCCTGCTGCAGCCAAGCTGGTATGGAATGAACTCTCCAAAATTAGCAATGGTGTCTAATCTGAAACAGATTCTAAACTAAAACAAAAACTTATATCAAGGGTCTCTCCAATTCTGAAACTGGTCTTTTTTAAAACTAGAAGAAAGTGTTTACTACAATTAACTTTTATTTAATATGGACTACTAGTTCAAGAAATTAATTGCTGACAAATTAGCAATTCCCCTGCATTCTTTTCTGATTCTGCCAAGGAGACATGATTTGCCTTTGGCTTCCTACAAGCCTCATAGCCAAGAAGTAATTATGATTTCTCTTTTGAGCACATTCTTTCATCCCTGTGCGCTAACTCATTCTAATAGTGTTTACTGAATGAACAAATGATACACTTCACATATGCATAGTTTTGGAAGATGCTTAAAATACCACTTCCTTATGTTTCTTTCATTTGATCTCAGTCTACATCACACATAAACAAGGGGGATTTCCCCCCTCCCCCAAACTTAGCTAGGGCAACCTACCAAGCCTGAACTTAGAATGCAACATGCTAAGCCAAAAGTAAGCAAATCCAAAGATAACTTCTCAGCCAAATGTAAAAAAGAAAAAATTAACATGTACAAATGTTAATTCCAATAGACAAATCCGAGGGAATGGAATGGTGCAGCGGTCTTATCAAGCATAATAAAAAACAAAAGAACAGATTTAGACCTCAGTGAAGTTAAAAATATCACAAGTATTGAGGCTTTGTTGTGAAGCTGCATCTTCACAAGGATAGATTTTTATACACATTCATGTTATAGTACTGTTGTGAAGATTTTATTTATATGTATGTATGTATGTATGTATGTATGTATGTATGTAAAAGAAAGGGAAAAAAATCATATCCCTGCAATGCTCATTATCAAAACATTTAAAACTTCCTGGTTTAATTAAATAAAACACACATTAGGACACATACTGCAAAAATATATGAATGCTGTAAAACAGCAACACAGGTCCCCACAGACTGAGGGCACAGATAAACCTCCGTGGCCTCAACAACTCTCAGACCAGATGACTGCAAGGAATATAAATCCTTCCATTCTCTACCATTCAGTCAGAACTGAAGAATCTTTTTGGATGAGAAGAGAAATATCTTCAAGGAAAAAGAAAGTCCAATTGCCTTTTGAAAAAGCACCTTTGGAATATCAAACCTACACAACATATTTTCATTGCACAAAACCTCCCAATCCAATTGGATTTAGTTTAATTGAAGTAGATGGAAACTTGTTGTCTAGAAAACTACACAGACTTGTGCATGTTGTTACCAGGAGTCAAGAAGGACTTGAAGGAACAAGTATATATGTTAAATAATATCTTTCCTTAAACCAAGGTGATTAGTAACTTGAAGAATCCTTGGTGCTCTCTGAGCTTGTTTTCTTGCAGATTTGGATAATAAAATATCTGCAAGAAAACAAGCAAGCTCAGAGAGCACCAAGAACCCCTCATGTCAACCCTTAACTATAAATATTATCCTTTAGTAGTTATTAGTAATTGTTAGCCCTAGAAGCTGTATGAGGATATAGCTGGTGAGTTGCTTGCTAATATACATTCATAAGTATGCAGATAATACAAAGTTTATTCTTCCAAACTTTTAGTGGTACGGTGCTCATTTTCTAGACTTTAATAACCCTAATGTTCAATTAGTATGAAAATCAAAGTATCTGATTTCTAGCATCCACACTGAGCATCATCTATGGTTTCTGTTACAATGGCCTTTTAAGAAGTCAATCGTAAATGCAGATGGCCTAAAACGTCTAGCACTGGCAAAGGACCATATGTAGCTGAGGGGCCAGTTTCCTGTTCTGCTTTAAACATCTACCCAGTTTCATAAAATAACTTGCCAGTTTCTTTGGTTATGTGCCTAAGACAGCTATGAACAGCAGAGATGCTATTGTGTGCTTCTCTTTAAATAATTCTATTAAGCTGAAAAGCTGAACAGAAGAGATTCATTCTAAGACTTCCATGTGATATAGAAAATATGAAGCTGAGTGGAGAAACCTATACATTTAAGCAATAAAACAAAAGTTATGTTCAGAACTTGAAAAAAAAAATCTTATCTTAACCACCTGAATATTCTTTTCCTTTCTTCCCTATTAAGAGAACGGATTTCCTTACTACACTGTGAAGTGTGTGAACAACTCTCCACCTTAAAAGAGATAAATGGAATTCTAAAAGAAATTCCATTTGCTGAGCTTTCTGTAACTTTACCCTACTCTTGTCAGCAAAACCTGCTAAAAGACATCCTTGCTTTCAGTTGAAATGGGTCCCCAAGAATATGAGGAACAGCCTGTTCCAAATTTTAATAAAATAAATTGAAGCTGTAATTTGTAAACTAACCCAAGAACACAGTGCCTCCCTCTTTAACTTGAGTAGTAACACTGAACTGGAGAAGCAGGTATGAGTTTGGGGTATGAGAGAGAAAGAGAAGGGGAAATATAAATGAAAAAGCAACTTCACATCATCATATTTTTGATTTTGTACTTTTAAACTTACTTGCATATGTATTCAGAGTTGATTTTGACTGGATGGGCATATAATCTCTGCAGATTAAAAATGTAGAAGGCATTATAGATACCTGGCAAGTTTCAAAGAGTTTGGCACACTGTTTCAGAATCCATGAAGTAGTTTATTAACTGTTACCAAGCATACTCAGCACCTTTAGAAGTCACCTGTTGATTTGATTTTTTTCCCATTTTATTATCCCTTAGAATAAAAGTTTTCATGTCATTCCTGCAAAGGAGAGGCACTGGTTTCTTTGCTTGCAGGCAAGCTTAACAATGGCTCTTTGTAATGATAGGTACAGACTTTTAAACAAAACAAAAAACACTACCCAGGAATCGCTGATTAGTTATGTTGGTTCTAGAGAATGTTGAGATATAAAAAACCTTTTCATTCAACAGTATTTACATAACAATTGCATGGTAATAAATAAGTCATTACAATTACTACAGTCTGTTCCACCAGACCTCCCCCCAATCCCAAAGGTTATATGCTTCCCACATGAGAGACACACACATTTTGACTTATTCCTAAGGTTGGAAATAGTGAGTCAGTGGTCTTTGCATTGTCCTGCCTTGCTCATAACTAATGCAGGAATTACTAAGAGCTCAGTGCTTCCATCAGTATGTAATAGGTGAACATACAAGGCAGAGAAAGGAGGAGAACAAAGGCTCAAAAGTGCTTCAAATATTAACTGTATTGAGAGCACAGAACGTGATGCTGTCCTCTCTCATTTCAAGACCAGTTGATAACAAAGTTCAGTGCAAATTTTAATTAAAAAAAATAAGTTCTTCCATGCTGAACCACTCACCGTTCCTGTGAGGAAAGGATCCATTCTACATAAAGCCCTGTAATTTCTTGTGCCGTTACTTTTTAAAAATTCCAGTGGCTATGTTTCACATTGAGCTTGTTCCTTCCCATCTACGCCAAGCCAGCCTCTTCTTCTTGCTTTGTTCTTTTTCCAGCAGATTCTCTTTTGTGACTCCCAGGTATCCAACACTAGCACAGCCACTGACCCAATTCATTTCATGTCCGTCCACTGGAGCTGGATAAATGATGGTTTGTGTTGGAATTCATAAGTCTCTTTGTAGCACAGTGCATGTGGACCACAGTGTCATTGGGATAACGGACAAAGGCAGGTTCACTGAAAGGTTTCTGGCACACCTGGCAGAGTTTTTTGTCAGAAAGAAGGATTGGGCTTTCTCTTAGTTTCACCTAAAAGCAGCAACAACAAGAGAAACATCTGTAAGGTTGTTCGAATTTTATTTTTGCAAAAGCCACTATTGGTGAGATAGGAAGTTGACCACAGGAGGTTGAATGGCCATTTTCTTACACCAGCTTCCTGCATTCATTGAGACACAATTCTAACATTCCTTTAGGGAAATCATAATACTTAATGGGAATGATCACACTAGATCTTTGGCAGCATCCTGGAAGTGAGAGGAGACTTTGTATTTTTCTGAAAAGGCTTCTTTGAGGATTGGTTGGATCCTTGGAAAGCTTGGGAATCTAATTGCAGTGGAAGGGAGAAGCAAAGAAAAATCAAGAAAGGTAGACCCACCCACCCACTCCTGCTCACAGTTTTTAATACAGATGTAGCACAGGAAGAAGAGAGAGGAATCATAAATAAGTTGTCATGTACATATGAACCACAAAAATTAGAGTGTGTTGGTCTACGATGAATTAAAAAGGAGAAATTTGCAAGCAAAAATCCCTGTTGATTAAACCTTATAAACTTACCTTTTCATGCTTGTAAATAAGATTCTCAGCTTTTGCTAAGCTCAGTGCAATCTCAGCCATTCTTTGTGAATGGAGACTTTCCCTCATTGCACTCATCAGAAACGAGGAGAGAAGCTGTATGGACCAGCTGGCAGGAATAAACTGCAAAACCCATGCAGCATCAAATTCAGCTGCATGATTGTTCAGAAGGTCAACGGCTGCCATATTCAGTTCATGGTTGGGTGTGCTGGAATTGAAATATGTTGAGAGCAGCATATGAAAAAGCTTCTGTCTGTAGGGAAGACCCTTGCTCTCGGAATTCCATAGGCAGTAGTCCTCAGCGGCTGAGAAGTCCTTCAGTTCATGGACCAGAATACGTAGAGCTTTTTCATGCTCTTCTAACTTTCCATACAGTATTGCACACTCAGCATGAAGATCTGTGCCGGCAATTTTATCTGCCAAATGCAAATTTAAATATAAGCCTTGTGAAAAGAAGGGATGTTTATTTCTTTTGGGTTGGCCTACAATACATTTCATATCCAGATATTCTATCTCCCTCTTATTCTCCCTCCATAGATGCACAGCTCAAGATGCCTCTATACCTAGTGAAATTAATCACAGTCAATAAAATCTACAATCAATCTGTGAACTTTTAAGCTGATACAAGACTCTTGATTATTTTACACAATAAGAAGTCAACTGAAAAATACATTCAGAGCAAGATACCTACTAGACTTCTGACTTTTATAAAGCAAAAATGGGGGTGTGAATTCACATAGTTTTGTTCTGAAGATATGTGCAAAACATTACACATATAATATACATATAATTGTAGGGTATCGTGATTAGTCATCAGAAAACTCATAACACGAGCTAAAACAATATTTTTATCAGCCTTTTCAGTAGAAAGGTAAGTTGGACTGCTTGACTGAAACAAACACGAAGTACACAAACAAAATTATAGTCTACTTGCATTATGAAGATTATTTCTTTAATTTGAATCCAGGCTGATAATCTAAGAGATAATGCATCCTGATAGCAGTCATATTCACATGTCAGTGACTGCTCTTCTAGGATGATTCTTAGATGACTTCAAAATATTACTAATATGCAACACCTTAAATATTATAACAGCAATTTAAATTAAGTAATCAGCATGAACAGTATCTCTCTTACAATCTTGGTGACATGGAAGTAAGCAAAAGATTTATTATTACAATCTGCTTAACAATAAACTTCACCCAAACCTTTGCTACTTATAAATAAAAATTGTTAGGGTAAGGAAAATTCTTCCTGGCATATTTTCCCAACATGATCACAAATCATGTAGAAAAATGTAGGATTTCTTACAAGTAAGGCCCAATGCTGAAGAATTATCTACTCTATTTAATTTGAATCAACTGTTAAATCTTTTCTGATATAATAGGCAAATGGAGAACAACCTGTTTCTCTTCTAATTACACAGCTATGTCACTTCTTTAGAAACCAACTATATATTTTAGAAATGAATTTTTCAACCATATTAGTGTTTCTTCCATGGTTATCCCCCAAAATGGGAATAAGAAATGCTGACTGATGACTTTAACCTCAAAGTCTTTTCTATGTGGGAGAATAAAGCTGTCCAATTCCCAAATATTATAAACTCCGCAGATCTTTAAAACATGTAATAGATCAAATGGCACCCCCATTACACCTTCAGGGAAAGATTAGTTAAAATGGCAACACAGAATCTTGGTTTCATTTCAATTAAGGTTTAATACAACCCATTAACATTCATCCTGGAGCAGTATTCAAGTATTCTAGCTCTAATTAATGGAACCATGTTTAATGGAACAATTAATATACTCATCCTTTTCCCTTAAAAATTCAGTATTGTCTGTTTGCTAGAATTAAATTTCTCAGTATCAGATATTGTGGCAATGTACTGTATGTTTTCTAATAATTACTTGAACTGTTTCATATTGCATTTTAGCAGGGTTCAGATTTCAGTTTGTTGGATCAATTCTGAGTTATCCTGAAACCTAAGCTGACCATAAAGCAATAAAAATTGGTCTCAATACAAGATCTTAAATATAATCCCACAATAACGTAACTTCACATCACGTTGTGCCTTTCTTGGCATCATACCTTTGAGCCTCTATAATACATTTCAAACTGTAGATTCGAAAGTCTTCTGCAAGCAATCAGTTCTTATCTCTGGCAAAAGCAAACTGTTTCTTGGCAGTCCACCAGACAAGAGAAACAAAAGGAGATTTGAAATGTGTGTGTGTGTGTGTGTGTGTGTGTATGTGTGAGAGAGAGAGGGTGGGGGGGGGACATGGAGAAATAGTCTCAAACATTTTGGAGTCTGGCAGTACACATCAGCTCTGCCCAACACTGGACTCAAATGCAATAAATTAAACCCTGAAAAGAATACATTTCTTGATAGAAAAAAGCTTCTGATAAATATAGTTTGAAGTGTCTTACCTAAAATGAAATGAACTCGGTAAAGTTCAGATCTCTGCAGAAGACTGCGTAGTTTTGTCTGCATTTTGGTCAGCTTCTCCTGCCTCTCAGCACCCAGTGACTTCAGATGGAGCACATCATTGAGGTAAAGCACTGCTAGATGGGTGTGGAACTTTTCCTTCTATGAAAATAAAAGCAATCAAGCCAACATCAAAACAGTTTTCATACACCATTTTTATCAATTATTTCAATAAAACTCATATAAAGTATTAAGACACAATGTCAAAAGCTTCTATTTCTTAGGTGCGTTAAAAGTATAATACACAAACAACGAAGTCATAGTCAAAAGTAATTCTGGGAGAGCAACATTTTAATTTCTAAAGTTGTCCAAATATATACTTCTGCCAACAAAAGTGCGTATAGTCCAGGCCATGGTTTTCCCAGTTGCAATGTATAACTGTGAAAGTTGGACCATAAGAAAGGCTGAGCGCCAAAGAATTGAGGCCTTTGAACTATGGTGCTGGAGAAGACTCCTGCGAGTCCCTTGGAATGCAAGGCGTTCAAACCGGTCAGTCCTAGAAGAGATCAACCCCAACTGCTCTTTAGAAGGCCAGATCCTGAAGTTGAAACTCAAATACTTTGGCCACCTAATGAGAAGGAAGGACTCACTGGATAAGGGCCTAATGCTGGGAAAGATTGAGGGCAATAGAAGAAGGGGACGACAGAGAATGAGATGGCTGGATGGAGTCACTGAAGCAGTAGGTGTGAACTTAAATGGACTCCAGAAAATGGTAGAGGACAGGAAGACCTGGAGGAACATTGTCCATGGTCGCGATGGGTCGGACACGACTTCGCAATTAACAACAACAACAACACTTCTGAGATTAGAAGAAAATTAAAGATTCAGTCAAAATATTTATTTCATATCTGTGCTACAGTCCAGGACACAAGTACAGTATTATACACAGCTGAGAAGGATGTCTATTTTTCTGGCATTTCAGTTAGTTCTTTTTACACTTGAACTATAGCAACTAACTGAGGAAATAATGTAAAAAATAATTCTTTGTTTTTAGTTTAGCAAATGCACATAAGTACAAAAACATGTATAAAATGTGAATTTTATATCATTCCCACCATTCACTTTTACAACATCCAATTTCATTGGCAGTTCTACTTAGAATTTGAATAAACAAGGGGTGAGGATAGAGGGTTCAACCCCCAAGTTACTCTATAGAAGAGAATTAGGCAAGCATGCTGAATTCACTAAAACACAAAATGTAAATGCACAAGTACAGCTTGGAACACACAGACAAACACATTTATATAGTCCTTTTCAAAGCATTAATATTCTACAGAAGTCCTCACCCAAACTTACTTTTATTCTTTTTTCTAGAACTAAGTATTCCAAGTATTTTACTAGTGACACTGGATATTTTTTAAGGCATTTGATGACATCATCTGGGTTAAAGCTGTTTTTCTCTTGGTCTTCCACGGGCCTTTTAGTGAAAATGTATACACCAACCTAAAACAATATAACATTTAGAGATTCCAGAATTGTATAAGTACACGTGACAGTTCATAGGCCAGTTTCTGAAACGCTTTACTTTTTTCTTGCTTTATTCACATAGACATTGAAAAAAAAATATTAATTATTATTATTACTACTACTACTACCACCATTATTATGTTGGAAGGGACCTTGGAGGTCATCTAGTCCAACCCCCTGATCAGGCAGGAAACCCTATACCATTTCAGACAAATGGCTGTCCACTCTCTTCTTAAAAACTTCCAGTGTTGGAGCATTCACAGCTTCTGGAGGCAGGTTGTTCCACTAATTAACTGTTCTAACTGTCAGGAAATTTCTCCTTAGTTCTAGGTTGCTTTCCTCTTTGGTTAGTTTCCATCCATTGTTTCTTGTCCTGCCTTCAGGTGCTTTGGAGAATAGCTTGACTCCCTCTTCTCTGTGGCAGCCCCTGAAATATTGGAACACTGCTATCATGTCCCCCTCATCCTTCTGTTCATTAAATTAGACATACTGAATTCCAGCAACTGTTGCTTATATGTTTTCGCTTCCTGCCCCCTAATCATCTTTGTTGCTCTCCTCTGTATTCTTTCTAGAGTCTCAACATCTTTTTTACATCGTGGTGACCAAGTGTGGCCTTACCAAAGCATTGTAAAGTATTAATACTTCATGTGATTTTGATTCTATCCCTCTGTTAATGCAGCCTAGCACTGTGTTGGCTTTTTTGGCAGCTGCAGCATACTGCTAGCTCATATTTAAATGATTGCCCACTAGGACTCCGAGATCCCTCTCACAGTTACTACTATTGAGCAAGGTACCACCTATACTATAGCTGTGCATTTGGGTTTTCATCATTAAATTTCATCATTGTGTAGCAATGACAAAAAAACCAGGAATAAACTTATGTTACGTTTGCTAGGTATGTGTTTTTGGTTAGAAATTAGACACTGTATTACAAATGAATGTAGTGTTTGAAAAATCAAAACAAAACCTAACATATTTGCACTTCCCTCCTTAAAGTGAGGAATATAATTTAGACTTCATAAAAACTCTAACAAAAATACTGCATTTTCCAGGTATTAAATTCTATGCTCCAAATCAAGGAAAATAAACCCTGAGAAACACTGCCTTAAAAACAAGAGGAACAACAAAAATGAAGGCCCATGTTAGGCCTACACCCTGGTACCTACAACTATAATTGCACCTGAATGATAGTTTGATACTTGTTTCATAAACACCGTGACTTTTGCTTGGGAGTTATGATACTGGAATAACAAGGGAACAGAATGAAAGATTTCATGAATAAAACTCAATGTATAGGTCTAATTAATCTAGACAAGTTATCCAAGCAATAGCAATTTTTAAATCTTTTCACCAAAGGATTTAGCCACATACCTCCTCGTTATGTTCCAAGATCCATTCTGCGTACTTCCACACCAATTCATGGTCAGAACAGGAGGTTAGGAAGTCTACAATATAGTCATAAAGGTCTGTGCGTGTAGAATCCTGAATCTCCCCATTGACTATCTGTATCCATAACTAAAGTAAAGAAACAGAAGTTTCACTTCAATCTTTAAAAGGACAAATGCTATTTTTCTTAGGTTCTAGGCCAGGGGTATCAAACTCGCAACGTCACGTGACGCGACGTATTGCGACTTTTTTCCATTGCCAGCAATACGGTGGGTGCGGTTTCGCCATGACGCATCTGGCCTGCAGGCAGGCAGTTTGATACCCCTGCTCTAGGCCATCCTCCTGAAAGAACAGACCTTGAGGAATAGAGGAGAGCTTTTTAAAGCCATACATAAAAACTTAGGTCTATGCACTGTTTCACATTCAAAAGCAAGAAGAACACGGGGGTTGCCAGCAAACTACCTAGTTTCTTTCACAAGTTGCAGACAGGTTTACAAGAACAATTCCTCACTCCATATAAGAGTATCTTCTTCTTAATCCACAGGACAACTTTATATTCTCTATGTATTTATGTGCACACACTATCACACACATATACAAATTCGCTTTTATCTACCGTTATTTTAATTACACAGATCTTTCTTCCTCTCTTTGAATGTCTAAATCTTTATTTTATTATGTGTAGGTCTTAGTAAACACCCTCCATTCCTAATATTTTTGCCTCTGTCCAAAAATATATTAGAATGGCAATTATTTGTTGCAGAAACCGATGCTGATTAGGGAGGGACTGCCTTAAAGTCACTCAGCAGGCTTCCATGCCTAAGGTAGGAGTAGAACCTTTATTTCCCATCTGCAGGCTCAGGACCTAAGTCACTACACCACAAGTTTTGAACAGGCCAAAATGAGCTAAGAAAGAAAGAGCTAAGCCATTCTGCACACTAACCTGTAATGCTGCAGCATCTTGACCATTTGAGTGATACAGGAGCCCAAGTGCAAAAAATCTGTACAAGGAATATGAAATAGCAAGTGACTTAGGCAGTACAGCAGGAATAAGTATGTATTATTTTAGGGAGTTGGGACAAAGTTTGAAAGCCCTTGGTTTAGGTTTTCAATATATTCTTCCAGTTTCAGGCTAGCATAACTTTATTCCAAATTTGCCTTTATCATCTACTTCCACCACAGTAGGAGGCAAATGAGGGCTTAGCAATGAAAGTATGCAAGGAAACAAACTCTATCCACAAGATGGCCTGCTACCTGGATTTCATTTACATAGCAGAGATTTACTAGGAAGAAGTAATTTTGCTAGCTCAGCAAAATCACCCTCGACTCAGAACATGAGAGTCAGTCCTAAGCCACCACTCATGCAGTGGTTTACAGTCCTTTGAAAAATTAACTTGGGTATATCTTGAAAATCAGATTCTTTCTGATTTATGTTATCCCATCTTTATTTTTATAAATAATTCAAGGCAGCAAACATACATATTAGTTCTTTTTCCTCCTGCTTTCTCCTTAACAACAATGTGAGGTAAGTTGGGCTAAGGGAGAGTGACTGGCCCAAAATCACCAGCAGACTTCCATGCTAAGAATTCACAGACTCCTGGAATCTAGCTTGGTGCCTTAATCACTAGACCAAAGTGGCTCTTATGGTATTTATTTCTGTAAGACAGCTATATAATTTTTCTAATTCAATAAATAAATAATGACAATTCTAGCAGCAAAATAGTTTACATAAATTTTTGAATCCAGAGAATCTAGTTTGGAAACCTAAGATGATCTAATTTATGATTCTGACTCTTTGGAAACTGTGAAACATATAAATTTGAAGGAGAAGGAGGAGGAGATGAAGATGTATGTCTAAGGAGATTCTCAGTCATCCATGTCATGGTTGTCCCAAAGATGCTTTTTCAAAAGACAACTGGACTTTGTTTTTGAAGACATTTTGCTTCTCATCCAAGAAGGTTCTTCAATTCTGACTGAATGGTGGACAATGGAAGGATTTATATTCCTTGCAGGCATCTGGCCCAGTGCTTTTCAACTGGTGGTACGCGTACCACTGGTGGTACTTTAGCACCTGGCAGGTGATACACAACCCCTAGCCAAGTGTAGCTGGGGAGGGAACGATCTAAAGCACGCCATGCAGGCCTGGAGGAGATCAACTGGAGCTGCAGGGCTCGACAGAAGCCCCAAGATCTGCACATGCGGCTGCATGCTGATTGGAGCTTCCGGTACATCCGGAAGAGAAAAGGAGAAGTGTGGAGAGAGGAGAAGCTATAAAAGGAGATTTTCGCAGGAGAGGAGAGAGAAAACACACAGGAAGAAAAAGAGAGAAGAAGCTTTTGTTAGCGAAGCGATGAGGACAGAGCAAGCGAGGGGCCTTTGCGAGCGAAGGGTGAGCGAGTAAGAGAGCAAGCGAGCAGAGGGCTTTTGTGAGCAAAGTGAGTAAGAGAGAGGGGTGCTTTTATGAGCAAAGTGTGAGTGAGAGTGGAGGGGGGCTTTTGCAAGCAAAGTGTGACTGAGTGAGTGAGAGGCTTTTGAGAGCGAAGAGTGAGAAAAAAATGGAAAAGTGGGGGGGAGGAAGCATTAACATTGAACCTCAACTTTTTACTTTTCCGTAATATTATAAACTAGCCATTTCTATAGCAACAAATGAATCTAACCAGTAAAGCCCCAAATCCCCCCCCCCTTTATTTTTAGTCATCAAGTGTTTGATACCTTGCTAAGCACTGGTGATACTCGAATACTGTCATGTCTAAAAGTGGTACAATCTGTGAAAAGGCTGAAAAGCCCTGATCTGGTTGTTAGCAGTCTCTCTCTCTAAGAGTCGGAAGAACTGAAGAAGCATCTTGTATGAGAAGCAAAACGTCTTCAAGGAAAAACAAAGTCCATTTGCCTTTTGAAAAAGCACCTTTAGGAATAGTAGTAGTAGTAGCTACACAAAGGTAGTATTACAGTATCTGTTTGTAAAAGGATTATTTAAATCAATCAGTCAAATTATAACGAAAAAGGTTGCCACTGTGACTGGCTTATGTCAAAGAGTTACAGGCTTTTGGTTCAATATACCAAAAGGTGAGCGGCAAAGTTGACAGGGCTTTGGATTAGAGCTGTACAGAGCCTAGGATTATTTGGAGAATATTGTGCTTACTTTTTGTGCTTCTCCAACCATGCAGCACTGTCTGCCAGAAGGCAAGAATTCTCAGAGACCAGGAGATCCAGAAGACTTTCATGATTGGACTCTGCATAAAGTTTCAACAGGGCTGTATCAATATCCTCCTTGTAGCCATTTGTGACGTCAGTGCTGCGGACCTCACTCAGATAGGTCATGAGAAATTGCTTGCACTTGATCATTTTCTCCTGGTCCCCTTGTGTAAGTTGGTTTAAGTCAGCATATTCATGCAGAGGAGGGTGTGACCGCATGAATGAAGAGGAAGTAGGCAACAGTAAGGGGTAGAGACAAATCAACTCACGGACATCAAGCTGGCTGCTTCTGCAATTATAATATCAAATGAGATGTAATAAAAAGGAAGACAAGTATATAGAGGTGTGCACTCTTACACACACACACAATAACAACACTCATTCTTGATCATCTCTTGGTAAGATTACTGCAATGCACTCTACATGGGGCTACCCTTGAATAGTATTTGGAAGCTACAATTGGTATAGAATGTAGCAACACAGTCAGTTCTGGAAGCCCCTCAGTTGACACATATGACACTGTTGTTGCGTGAGCTACACTGGTTGCCAATTTGCTTCCAAGCCCTTTATGGACTGGTCCAGGGTATCTGAGAAACTATCTCATCCCAATGGGACTAGCCTACTCCACTCACTACAGCGGAAAAAGCTTACTTTGGATCCCGTCTGCCAAATAATTTTGACTGGCATGGTCCGGGAGAAAAGCTTTTTCTGGTGTGGTCCCTGCCCTCAGGAATATGCTCCTATTGGAGGTGAGGCCTGCCACCACATTCCTGGCCTTCTGGGAGAGCCTGAAAACTTAGCTTTGCTTCCTGGCCTGGGCCCAGAGAGAGGCTTGTTACATTGGGGTGGCTGATGAGGTAGAGAAGACACATGCCACACATTGTCTTGGTTTTTAGCTTTTCTATTTAACTCTCCTAATTTTAATTGCTTTGTACTACTTTTTTACTTATTATATTGTAAGCCATCTAGTCACTGTACAAGAGAAACAAATAAATAAAAACAACAAAAAGGATAGTACTTTCTAATTCAGAATTTCCACACTTTTGGGGGTTTTTTGTATACATCTACTGGGTGGCCATCTTTAGTCAAACTTAGTTTGTCTCAAGAAGTTATGTTTCAAAATCCTAATCCCACTGTAAACCAATATTTTAAAAAAAGAACATTATGAACAAAACAAGCTAGTTTGAAATTGTGCACACCCGCCATTTTTAACAAAATAGAAATTTGTTTTTTCCTGTTATGAACAGAACATTAAATTATCTATTTATAAATTAAAAATGCTTTCAACAAAACCAGGCAATAATTTCCTTTTTTTTTTTAGCCAAAGCAATTTAACAAAATAAATAAATCTGACAATGGCTGTAAAATACAACATATAATTGAAAAACCTGGACTGTATACATTTTAGGTTTCAGATCTAGCAAATAGTCATTTAAATAACATATTAATGTAACTGTTTCTTCTTTGAGAATAGCCTACAAAATAATTTCTGCCTGTTTTGATCCTGGCTTGCTTTTACTCTATATCTCATAAGTATGCAAAAACCTTGGACTGCAGAGCATGTAAACTTCCCAAAATTGTTATCAACCACATAACACTCAGTCCTACAGGATGTAATCTAGTTCAGTATCGGAATTTGCTTAGCCTAAATACTCTAAATCCAGCTCCCAGATTTCTCTCCCACATTCTTCCCACATATAATTATTAAGTATACACAATCTTATTTCAGTATTAACTCTCTATCCACTGTATCCAACAAGAAAAGCAAATGAATCCACTGGCAGATGAGAAAGGCAGAAACTTGGACCTGTCCCAAGCCCAATGTATATGAATCAAGATTAGTCTGTCCTTGGACATCACTTAAAGACCAGCTACAATTTCACTTGGTCCATTGACTAAATCTTGTGCTTTTTATATGTTTCAGGCCAATGTCCTAAAATTTTTAAAGCCAAATATATGAACCTAATCAAGCAATGGCGAGCTAGACCAACATTTCTCAATCTTGGTGACTTGAAAATAGGTGGATTGCAATTTCTATAATTCCCCAGGCAGCACCCACTCATTTTCAAGTCACCAAAGTGGAGAAACATTGAACTAGACTGCAAGAATATTTCTTACCCCATAGCAGCCTTACCTGAAGAGCTCTTTTGCTTCAAGGAATTGGAGCTGTGCAAACTGGATAAACCCTGCTTGCTGCAAAATTCGCTTGTACATTGTCTACAAAGGAAACAAAGAAAAAATAATTTAAGTCTAAAAGGCAACTGCTGCAAAGTGACTAATAACTTTCCTGGTTTCACTATAATAAGGAAGAAGAAAAAACTGGCCCAATTCAGAGGTCATTTGCACATTGTGTGCCTGAGATATAGAATGAAAGAGCTTGAAATGGATTGCCCTATCACCTTGGGACTGCACAACACAACAGTCAGGCACCAGCTAGTTCAAAGGGAACTCAAGTACGCTCCAAAAAATGTAGTTGCAATAGAAAGTTCTACAGGGCATTCAAATGATTTCTGTACTATAATCAAAAGTATCCTTTAAATTAAGATTCTCCTGGAGAATCACTCACATGGGAAATAGCACTAAAGTATTAGGTGCACTTACATATCTTAGAGCACTGTTTCTCAACACTGGCAACCTTAAGATGCATGGACTTCAGACCAGTGGTGGGATTCAGCCAGTTCATACCAGTTCAGAAGAACCAGTAGTTAATTTTTTGTTGCCCAGGCCCAGAATGGACTTCCAGAAGCGGCATCCAAACAGAGAACTGGTTGTTCACATATCTGAATCCCACCACTGCTTCAGACCCCAGAATTCCCCAAGCAATCTGCCAGCTGGAGAATTCTGGGAGTAGAAATCCATGCATCTTAAAGTTGCCAAGATTGAGAAACATGGAGAATGAACATGTGTTGGAAAAATTCATAGTTTCACACATGCAAAAAATGTGCATTTGCAATTTTAAGATCTGGAATGCATACTCTTCCTTATGTGAAAAGCTTGCCAAAAGTTCTATGCACTCAGAAACACACTTTATTAATGTAATCAATTCAATCAATTTATACCATCACCCATCTTTATTAATGGGAAATAGAAACAAATAATCTGAATTAAGAGCCAATATTTTAAGCTGTTCTAAGTATATTTTTGGCCATACAAAAACCATTTTCAATTATTTAGTCCTTTCACTAGTTCAAGCACAAGCTTGATTAATCCTACAAAAGATTCTTGATTCACAGCCCAGATATCCTCTACCAAATATAAAGGTAGTCAAACTATTGTAACTGAACATTTTTACACATTCAAAATGCAGACTTCCCATTTCTGGAAGAAGATAAGTGTGTTTACCTGGAACACACCAAAATTAAAGCCACAAAACTGCAATGGATATATCAAGACTTAAATTAAAATGACTAATGTCATTACAGGTAGTCCTCAACTTACAACAGTTATAATGGCACTGAAACAAGTGACTTATTACCATTTTTCACACTTATGGCCATTGCAGCATCTCCATGATCAGGTGATCAAAACTCAGATGCTTGACAATTGGTTCATATTTATGATGGTTGCAGTGTCCTGGGGTCATGTGATCATCTTTTGTGACCTGACAAGCAAAGCCAATGAGGAAACCAGATTCACTTAATAACCGGGTTACTAATTTATCAACCGCAGTAATTCACTTAACAACTGTGGCAAAAAAGGTTGTAAAATGAGGCAAAACTCACTTAATAAATGTCTCACTTAACAACAGAAATTTTGTGGTCACAAATCGAGGACTACCTGTATTTCTTTGCTGAATAGAATCTAATGTATATTTTGCCTTTTTTATCACTGTAATTATATTTGTCTAACCACGTGCACTACAAAATTGCATGCTAATTAAAAGTAATTTCTTAGTAATCATGTAGCAACTACATTATATTTAGTACTGCAGACCTACAGAATGATTTTATTAGTTCTGCTGAGATATTAACTCCATTGGGCACTTCCTCCTCAATTCCTTTAATTCAGGCTGGTTATCAGAAGAATTTCAGGAAAAACTGGTTCCCTAAGTTTGCTCGCCTCCAATTTCCATCCATTTCTCTTTTTGCATCTTTGAATTTGCAAGCTATTAGGCAGAGATCCTGTTCTTTGATTATGCTCAGGACAAAGGAGCATGATAAAATCACATACTGGAAGGCAAAGTAATTGGATGCCTTTAGCAATGCAGGAAAACCAGCTGGATATCAAAAATGTAATATCAAATATGTGAATTGTCTTTGATAAATACCTGGAGTTTTGTAAGTTTATTAAATGAATACACTACAGCGGTAAACAAGACTTGAAGTCAGTAAGTTGTCTTCAAGTAAATATATTTAAATCAAGGGTAAGGCATGCCACAAGATTTATTTTAACATTTGCTGAAATGTTCATTACACCTTACAATTCCTTAGGGTAGTTCATCACTCCTGACACAGCTAATTTAACCACAAAACTGTGGGATTCATTTGAGTGCATTCCCAGGATTACCACTGTGCAAAACATTTCAAATTTGAACCATTTAAATGTTCACAACAGTACCTCCCCCCTCATACACCCAAGCATAAAATAGTTTATGTCAAGGAGCAAAGAGACTGCTTCACACATAAAATATTTTAAAAATACTTTAAAAAACCCTTCTGAACTTGAAATAGAACTATTTGAACTCAAAGCAGGCTTGGAAGTACATATTGGAAGTATCCCATTTCATACTCAAATCAAAGTAATTTTTTTGCTTAAAACAAAAGATGCAAATTCAAAACATTTTGTAGGTCCTTACCTATATCTATCTCTTGAAGAAATAATAACAAATACACAGAAGTATATTTTTTAACTTCATAGTACAGTACAGAGTACAGTCAGAGACATTTTAAAATCAGAGGCAGACCTGAAATTTCTCCTTTGGAATATTCCTTTCGGCTCCCTTTGCTAACACTAGTGCTTCTTCAACTCTTTGGCTGCCCAAAAGGTCTTGAATTTGTCTTTCCAGAGGCAGTGGGACCAAGAAGTATACCCCTTTGGTAGTAGCTACAATTACTTTCCCTTAATTTAAAAACAAAACAAAATTTACAAAGCAAAGCATAAGAGAGAGAATAGATATACTATTTAAACCAGAGGTCCCCAACCTTTTGGGCACCAGGGACCGATTCTGTGGAGAAAAGTTTTTCTGTGGACAGGAGAGTGGGTGAGTTTGTGTGCTGCCTGTATCCCACAGATGGGGCTTTGCTTGTTTGTGTGGACCGGTTGCTGGCATGCCTCGGCCCACTACCGGTCCACGGACCAGGGTTTGGGGACCCCTGATTTAGAGGGAAAATAAATATTTCCAATACTATACAGTATGAACATACAAAAACACAACCATTTTTCTCAAATAGTGATGCAAATTGTAAAAATATAATTTCTGCTAGGGCTGAATAACTCTTTCTCTCACCATTTTCAAGAGAGAAATAGCGATCCCAGATATAAGTGCCAGCAGTTATTCAGAAGATCTTTATGGACACAACTGTTTGCTGATTTTTCATAAATAATTTTCCTTTCATCCATTTGGATGAGGAAATGAAACTCCAGTTTACAACAGCTCAGTTTTTGCTGAGGTTTTCCTATTATTTATATATGATTGCCAACAGGAACAGAAGCTTCATGCAGCAGTTAGCAAAAAGTACTTGTGATGTTTAGGGTCCTCTCAATCAAACAGTTTTGACTCCTGGAGACAAGTCCCTGCATTTTTCTGCAACATTTTTGGAAGTGACTTGCCATTATTATATTCCTAGGTCTGAGAGACAGGACTGGGCCACAGTCAACCAGCTGATTGGTTGGTTATTAAATTTATGTCACCCATTTCACTATCAAGCAACTCTGAACAGTTATTGTGCCCAAGGCAGGATAAAACTCAGTCTCCCACCTTTTAATCCAACACTTCAATCACTAGACCAGACTGATTCTCTCCCTCTTATGTACCTTCAAAATCCTGTAGGATATGCCCATCCTTAAAGGGCAAGGTTTGCTTCTGCTGCTGGTCCAGCATACTGTGCACAGTAATGAATTCTTCATCTAGAGCAATTACATACGGAAAATAGAGAGCAGCCCCAATCACCTTTTCTGACCAGCGAACAGGAGCCCGCTGGGAAATGCCATCCACTGTTGCAAACATACCTGCCAATGTATAAAGGGAAGAAATTATAACTTTTTCAGGCAATTGATGACCACCCTGAATTCCAAGCTGTTGTTCATATGAATGTATACATGCTGCAAAAGGTTACAAAGAGCATCGTGATAATTTCCAAGCACAACCCAAACATATTCTGCTATCTGAAGAAGTGCATCAAATATTCCTATTCCATTCGGTAATTTTAGGCTACAGAATTGTAGCATACTAATTATTTGAACACTGACACACAACTTTCCAAAATTATCTTGCTTCCTTGAAGGCAGGGTATTTAGGTTCCTTAAAGTATGGCTACCTCTACAGATTTATATGTTTAATGCAAGATTACAATGCAGAGACTCTATTGCCACAGTTCAATCAATTCCTCTGTGCTTTGGCTGTCCTTAATTCTTATTGCTAGAATTAAATTTCCCTTTCAAGCGCAGAGTTGGAAGGATTACTTGCTCATCCCCTGCTCAATGAAAGAATCGTGCAATTATATTATCCCTGGCAAATGGCCACCCAATTCAGCTATTAGCAATGAAGATATGCCTACATCTTCCTGAAGCAGTTCATTTCACCGTCAAAAAGATTTTTAACAACAGTTCTTACTGTCAGCATTATTTTGTCACTTAGTTTTTGTTCAGAAATAAGTGCCCTGGAGTTCACCAGTACTTACTTTTCAGGGGAACTACCGGTATTTAGCAATCAGTTAACGCAGAACTTCCTGCATCATATAAAAGACAGCAGAGCCAATAGCTATTGATAAAATCTAGGCAGTCCCATTTACCAACAGAAAGAGGACAATTGCAGATTCTCCTTTTTATAACATTATAACTATTCATCTGGTTAATACACAAGTTCACATATTTCATGTTCTAAAAATACACAAGTTTTTGCATACTTAAATAAAAAATTCATCCCAAGAATTCTTATTCAATTTATGAAGAACAGTTTCATAAAGATCGAACTGATTACCTTTCAGAAAATTCAAGCAAATCAGAAAAGATTATAAGCCAAAATTCTATTTTTAAATACCCATAGTAGAAATGCTACTGTTCTATGAAAAGAACATTAATAACATTTAGTGTTAACTTTTAGAAGATATTTAATAAAGCTTATCTATTTGTTTTTTTATATTTTACTCTATTTTACCATTGCTACCTTGATTCCTTTTTGCAGAATGCTTAGGATTTTAGATTCAGAAAATAACCAATTACAATTTAGAACTAACTACTTTATTGAATCCATTTCTTTTTTGGATGATCTTATTGTTAGAAGTCAATCGGAGAGGTGTACTTGTCACAGAAATGTGGAATGGGCACAAATAAAATCCTGCACAGGTTACTAATTCCACAGGGAGAGGTATTTCCCAAAATAAACAAACATTCACAACTAACTCTATGGATATTTTTAATGATAAGACAGCAATCCAGTTTAACATTCACCAGAATTTTGTGAATTTTGATTTTGTAATTTTTTGGGGGAAGAAGTCTTGCAAAATTATTATGCAGGCGAAGGAAGGGTTAAGAAAAGGTAGAGCAAAAATTCCCAAATAATGAGCTGAAGAAGCTTACCTAATCCCCCAGGTGCAGCCAACAGGAACTCTTCCCTGCCTATTCTTTTTACAATTGGTTGCCTCTGTTCACCAGTGTAAGGAAAGAGCTCCTGGGACGCTCCAGTATTGTAGTTCAGTATAATATATTGGTTAGTGAGAGCAAGGCATAAATAATAGCCATCCACAGCTACAGCACAAGGTTGTTCTTGAGTGCAACATTCCTTCAAAATCTGAACTTTGTCCTCATAGACCAAATATATTTGGATGGTCCTCCGTTTTACTGAAACAATACACACTTCTACACAGAATGGATCCCCATTCACAGGGTTCTCATTCAATGTGAACATCAGGGCTCCTTTGATTCTGGCCCCACTGGGGATGGGTTCCAAGGTGATCATGTTCATTAAAGTGATGGTATTGTCACAGAGCACCAGAAGTCTGTTAAGTGCAGAAGCTGCTTTCAACTCTCCCACTGCCTTCCGGCAACTGAGGTACTTATGCAACTGCTTGGAAATAGAAAAAGGTTTTTTTTCAGAAGGTGAATTTTTCTCTTCCAAGAGAAAATGGCAAATAGAACCCTCATTTGTTCCAATGTAGAGATTCCGTCCACAGCATTCCACACATTTGATATGGATTCGAGGTCTGTCACCCATCAGCATCTCCCATTTAACTGCGGGAACAAGCTTGAAGGCTTTGACACTCATTGTGCTTTCCAGATGGTCTACTAAATTAATAAATGAAAAGAAAAAATCTGGATTTCTGTACTTCTGGATTGAAAGCTACACTGTTTTTTCATCATTCAAAATGCCAGGCTTTCCGTCTCTTTAAAACTTTAATGGTATGAAATTGTCAATTTTCATAATACCTGTTCACCAAACTATTGAGAAATAAATTTCTGAAGATAACTATTTTAATATAATTGAACTCTTGCATCTGCAGCTTGCATGGCCATAGAAATTGAACCTGTAAATGTAAATAAATACATACATAAACTCTGCTCTAGAACACCAATCCCTCAAAATAATAATGCTGGAAAATAAGACAGACGTTAGTTTCATGAATGCTTAGCACCCAAAACTTTGGAGCATGCTTCCATCTTCTAAAGTCCCCAAAAAGTTATCATCATGAGACTTACCAAAACTCATGTCCAATCATAACAAGTGATTGATGTCCTATTGATGTGCTATTATTTTCATTCCAAATTTTTAGAAGCATGCTATAGGCCACTGCAAGCCAGATTATTTTTTCCCATCTCAGTTCTATTCAGATACGTATGTTCTATTTTCATGGTTGATAAATTTTGTAGAATTTAAGTTGCCAGTTTTCAGATAGAATATATTCTTGGTAATACTGTATTATTTATAAACAGTACAATCTAAGTATTCTTATTTAAAACTAACTCATCATACTAGACAGGCTCTAGTCCATTGGTGTCTGCAATTGTAAACACTGCAACAAAAAAACCATTTAGCCATTTTTCTTTTATAACAGATTTTACAAAACATGGTTATCGTCTAATTTACATTACATTTTGCAGGTACAGAATGCAAGACACTGACCCACTTTTCCTTGTATTTGAATGAAACCAACATTCTAATTAAACAAAATCTGTATGAATGTAAGTTTATACTGTATTTAGATCTAAAAACTCTAACAGATTCTAAATCACATTTGATTAAGTTGATTAACTTTACAATTTTGAATGATTGTACCTATTTTTTATTTTTTTTTAATTTACAATTTATATTTACTAACACAAATATATAAGTAACCAAAGTATGGGAAATTATGATTAAGACTATGATTAAAGAAATACATAATTTCATTCTATCTACAGATGAAGCTGACTTTCAGTCTCAGCCTCATGTACATAGGAAGAATACTGGTCTATTTTATGGGGATGTTGTAAGAATAACTAAAAATGTAAAGTGCATTTATAATCTGCATGCACTTAAATATTAATAAATCTGAAAGTAACCAATCTGCTATAATGCACAAAACAGAATAGTGGAACCATATGGAGTCCTAATAAACCTTTAAAGCAAGCATCATAATATAATTCAATTAGGAAAAATAAGGATATATGTTCAGAAATCCTGATAATCACAATGAAAGTACAGCATCTTCCTTAGGGATTCTATCATGCCTTTAAAATGACACTGCTCCACTAAGTGTTCAACACAGCCTGTCTTTAAAGCATCCCCCTCCCCCATTGGTGTCTGCTGGCCTTGCATGCGCTGAACTTCCCCTGCTATAATCAACACATCTGGAACAGATGTCCTTTTGAGCTTCTGCAGGAAAGGCAGAATATGAATCAGGCAAATAAATAAATCACCCCAAATTATTGTCATTTTTAAGAGCAACAGCCAGCCTTTGGTGGGCACAATACTTTCTCCCTCAAAAATGGAGCAATAACTCTTGCATCAACTGTCACTTCTGTTTTATTGTATCCGTGGAGGGCTTGGGCAGGCAAGAGATCATCTGCCAACTCTCATCTTCCACCTGAAGGAGATCTATCTATCTCGGCTCCCCTGGGTCTCACTGAGTGCTCCCTCCTTACCACGAGCGAAGCCTCAGCTCTTCTCCAAATCACTCTCCTTAATTCCTCCAGCCTCAAGCCAGCCTTGGCAAGGTCCCGTCCTTTCCTGTTACGGTAGTTCGCCCACGGAAGATGGGTGAGACGTGACGTTTTGCATCCTCCCGTTTTCAGCGGCACCAACCCTGGTCAGACCGGGTTTCTGCGTCCAGGCAGCGCCTCACAGCCACACGCCCCTTCCCAGGCTGGGTCCAGCGCCCAGGCGGGGGGTTGCTCCACCGGCGAGGGCCATGGGAAGAGACCAAGGCCAAGAGCGAGGAGAAGGGGAAGGCAAGCAGCAGGTCGGGCGCAGGAGTGGAAGTAGAAATGCAATCCGCCACCGCTCCTCCGCCTCTCCTACCAAGCTGTCCGCCGAGGCCTCCCCTTCGCTCAGGACAGGCCAGCCGGCGCCACAGCTTCCGCTCACACCGGATCCCCGGGAAATCCGCGGCTCCCCTGCCAGAGCAGCGCGATCCTGCAGAAGGCTCTTCCTCCGGGGGCGGCTCCCGGGCCCTTCCGGTCACAAGGCAGGCCTGATAGGCGGATTTTTTCCGCTGGCTGGTGCGGGGCGGGTTAGAGGTGGTGCGCTGGGCGGGTTTGACCGGCGCAAAGTTTCGTCAGAGTGCAATCCTGGGCTCAGTAACGGGGTGGTTCTTCGAGGCGGTGTTTGGGGTTGGCTTAGGTTGGAGGCGGGGTTTTTGCCCGTGGGAGCGCAGCTTTGGCTCCAGTGCGTCGTGAGCTGAAGTTGGTTCCTAATCCCCCGCTTTCTTGGGTGCAACTTGGAACGAGAACCCAGCCCGTAAATATTGACCTAATGCTTCTCTAATGTTGGATATAAAACTACGCTTATAATTATTTTAACAAAAGTGATCAGCATGCAAAAAAGAAAAGAAAGCCTGGAAATCCAAGAAAAGATCTGGAGAACTGTTCTCACAGTTAGTTTTGGCCCACCTCTGCTCGTACATTTAAAGGTCCAGGACAATGTCCATTATGACACGGATCTAGAGCTTGCTGTAGATGCACCACTCTATGAAGCAAACAGCAGCAGCAAAAACGAGTATATAAAAATAAGCAGTTGGCCGCCTTCCATCACAATTTGCATGCCCAAGTGAGGGTCCTCTGAAGAAAAACTAAATTATGTCAGGATCTGTCTTTGAGACATGGCTCTGCTAATCTTTCCCTTTCATATACTGTATATTGGCCCAAATGTTACCAGAAAATAAGAAATAATGTCTTTAGGCCTGTCACAGTGCAATCAAAAGAGTTAAGAGCATACAATTGAAGCTTTGCCTATTTTATGTGCAACACTTTGCTACTATCTTTTAAACTATAAGGCACAGATCCCCTGAAATCAGTCCAGATCATATCATGAGAGTATCCAGGAAAAAATCCTTGGTGATCTGGAATAGATCCATATGGTCCAAAGTTTTCCATATATGCCTCAGCCACTATAAGGAAAAACTATTCTGTTGTAATTTAGCGTGAGAAAGCAAAATGTGAATTTAAGGAATGTTTGGTTATGCCTGGCTATTGAGTCAAGGCCAAAAAGAAAAGGTGATATAAGAAGAAACATAAAGAAGGAGTAAATTTCACTTCCCATTGATCAGACATAAAAATTAAGAACAAAATTGGAAAAAGAATCCTAAAGATGAAATCCCTAAACAATTAAATACATTGATAACTTTAAATAACCTTTATGTTCTTGAAGTAACAATGGCAGTAATGTGTAAATCTCTTTATAAAAAATGAATATTTTCAATTTAAAAAATCAAGTGTTTGTTATTTTAAGTGCCTGCAGCTCTTAAGAACAATAAAAAGTATGAATAAAAGATAAATATGATAGCAGAATACCACACCTGGTGAAGGCCTAACTAAATGTTTGTCATCTTAATCTTACTCTAGTGCAGGGATCCTCAACCTTGGCAACTTTAAGACTTGTGGACTTCAACTCCCAGAAGCTGGCTGAGGAATTCTGGGAGTTGAAGTCCACAAGTCTTAAAGTTGCCAAGGTTGAGGATCCCTGCTCTAGTGGTAAATTTTAGCTCTTTCAAAGTCATTTCTGTAATTTTGACCCCATTCATTTATCTTACCTGACATCTTCTTCCTCCTCTACTTTCCTTAAACTCGCCTAGCACAGCAATTTGTAGTAAAATACTATCTGTATTACCATATAATAAGCACTTAATTACTACTATATGCAATTTATGATCATGTTTTTCTTGACATACATACATACACAGCTCCAACCTCCAGTGGGCTGGAAACAGGGAAACCAGGAGTTCTAGTGCTGCTTTAGGCACAAAGTCAGCTGTGTGACTATGGGCAAATCACTCTCGGACAAACTACTCATGAAAAATGATGGCAAGATGCATTTTTCCTGTCTAATACCTTGGAGATGGGAGCCTTTTGGTCCCTTGGGGACCAGACTGTAACTTAGGACTCACCGATTAGAAGACTTCTTTTCCTACATACTGTTCCCCATGTACCCAAGTAGCTGAGCTGTGGCAATGGGGCATCTTTAGAACAGCATCTCTGTTATACTGTTTAGATTGAATGAACTCCAGGAATTCAATTTGAATGGGATAAGCAAGATCAGAAAGCACAGCCAAATATTAACAACCAGTACATCAAGTTTGTAAGTTAATGATTTCTTTACGATATCTATTACATATCAAATATTCTAGATTTTGACATTGCACTATGAACATTCCAAAGGCCAGCATGAATTAGACTGATAAGCAACTGATTTTAGAGCCAGTGCTCTAAATTTAAGGGTAAACTCTTAATCAAAACAACATATTTCAATATTGCATCATTTCGAGCATTGTTCTGTGTCTCTTACTGTTAAGAAAAAAACCCCTGAAATATCTGTAGCTTTCAACAACTTTCTATATTCTGAAGCCAATCTAGAAATTATTTCTGCCAATCAGAAATATTCTAAAATTTAAAGTTCTGTTATTGTTTTTCACATATTTTCTGCTGTATATTGATCCATTTAAAGTTTTGTTATATTTAAAGAGAAAAATTGTGAAATGACTATGAGTGTTCCACACTGAATAAACTGTCTTGTTCATGGATTGTTCCATGCAGAATATGGACGAAATAAGGAGCATGCACGCAGCCAATTTTCTTTTTGCTTAGTTTTTTTTAATGAATGCACAAAAACAGCTTAAGTAAGGTAAACCCATAATTATGACACAATCTGTAAGGTTGGGTTTTATTATTTCTTTCCATGCCCTATTGGTATTGAAGAATATCTGCAACTGAGATGAAATTATTGATAACAAATTGGATTAATGGAATTAGAAGGTAGTCTAGGACAGGGCTTTTCAACTTTTCACCCATTGTACCACTTTTACGATATGGCAACATCCGAGTACCACCAGTCACCTAGCAAGGTGTCAAAAACTTGATGACCCAAAAAAAAAAAGGAAATAATTGATAAAGTACAGTCAGTCCTTGACTTACAACAGTTCGCTTAGTGACTGTTCAATGTTACAATGGTACTAAAAAAGTTCCCCCAAGCCACAGCCAAGCAAGACACCTGCCTGCCCGCCCGGCGGCACTCTTCCTCCTGTCCGAGGTTTTCATTGTTGTGAGCATTTCTGTTGAGGATTGGCAGTGGGTGGGGTGGGGTGGGGGGGGGTTGGTTTTTATTTCCCCCCCCACCTGTCTGCTGGGTGGTTGCAGCAGGTTTTGGTCATTTCACATGATCCTGGGACACTGTGACCATCATAAATATGAATTAGTTGCCAAGCATCTGAATGTAAATCACAAGACCCTGGAAATGCTGCAATATTCCAGCTGATCGGCGCTTCTTCTGGGCTCAGAAGAAGCACCAAGATCAGTGCTGCTTTCCAGCTGATTGGTGCTTCTTCAGGGCTCAGCAGAAGCACCAGGATCAGCGCCGAGCTCCAGCTGGATCCTGGCGCTTCCTGAGCCCTGACAGCCCCGAAAAAGCACCAATCAGCTGGAAAGTGGCACTGACAGCCCTGCAGCTCCAGCCAACTCTCACTCAGGCTTGTGCATTGCTGCCACCAGTTCAGCTCATTGCCCTGCCCTGCTACCACTTTTCTAGGATGGTCGCGTACCACCTGCCAGGTGTCAATGTACCACAAGTGGTACCCATACCACTGGTTGAAAAGCCTGGTCTAGGAGAAAACCAGGTCCAGATAAACTGAATGATCTTACCCTTAGAGAAGAGGGCTCCCATTGTCATGAACCCACATTTTAAAAGTGTGATTTGTAGGATACAGGTCAAAGTATCTTTAAATTGAGTTAGATTTCTGTTGACTTCAGAAACACATCCATGCAGATTTCCTGGCAACTGCATAAATGGTTTGCCATTGCCCTTTTGGGGATGTTTTTTTAAATACTGGTTTTCATATAAAGCCCCAGACTTTCTTGATGGTTTCCCAAACAATAACAAACAAAGACTGATTCTGTTTACTTTTTCAGGCTCAATGAGCCTCCTCCCCAAGATGGCTGCTGAACAGTAGGGAGATTTTTCTCTTCTGCTGAGGATCTGATGATTTTGCTACTAAAGCTGGTTCTTTGGCAGCCCTGCTCCCTGGATTTGAAACTGAATACTTAGGAGAGAGCCAGGATGGTTTTTGGACAACTATGGACACATCCGGGATGAGGAATCTTAAAGATTACTGTTTCTAGTGGGAGTGGCAGAAAACCAGGTCATCCATCTTTTTCCTTTTCTGTTCTCTTAAGCACATCTGGATTTCAACTACATTTTTTAAAAGTTTGTTTTGTTTCATTTCTTATGTCTAAAAATAGCAATAGCATTAAACTTATATTCTATTTCAATCCTTTACATCCCTCTCTAAGCAGTTTACAGAGTCAGCATATGGCCCCCAACAATCTGGTACTCATTTTACCAACTTCAGAAGTATGGAAGGCTGAGTCAGTGAGGATTGAACTGATAGCAGCTGGCAGAGTTAGCCTGCAATACTGCATTCTAACCAGTGCGCAACCACGATTCCTAAAAGTTGACTGTGCCACCACACTACCACGGCTCCTAAAAGTTGATTTATTTTAATTTCCTGCTGGATATAATCTGTTTCTTGTTGTTTTCCTTTGACCTTTTTGACTTTTTTGAATATCATATATCATAAGAAAAATATTGCATGCCTTGAAGTATTTGGACTTGATTTACATCTATTTTGGACTTTTACTACACTTTGAAGATTATTTTTTTAACTTGGACTGAGATATTCTTCCTGCTTCTCTATTTTGAAGAATATCCTCTCTGTCTCCAAGGAGATTTATCTCTCTTTACCAAGTTACACCAGAGTAACAGGACCTTTTGGTAATATGCAAATCCAACTTGAAAACTTTTTTTAAACAGTTTTGACAAAATAATAACGCTTCCCAAAAAACATCCAAATAAAAGTAATTGGAGTTAAATTAGATTCACAAAAGGAATTGGATTTGAAAGTGGTAGATTCGGTGAAGGTGATTAAAAGAGATACAGATGTTATAAACTTAGAACT